ACACATATATATATATATATATAGAGAGAGAGAGAGAGAGAGAGAGATTGCTATGAGAGAAACACATTGATTGGTTGCCTCCCACACACCATAGCTCGACTGGGGCCAGGGTTCAAACATGCAACCCAGGGATGTGCTCTTGACCGGGAATTGAACCCGAAACCCTTTGGTGCATGGGCTGACACTCTAACCATTGAGAAACACTGTCCAGGGCTCTTCATCTGTTATTAAAAAAAAGGGGCTGGAGGAGTAAATATGCCTACCTCACAATTCAGAGGACTCCTGGAGGTGATACATCTAGAGCACTAAAACCTGGAGGATAGTAAGTGCTCTGCAGGGGTGGTGGTGTAACATAAGGGATAGGGCCTGGGTCTTCTGCTTCTCAAGCATCTCTCAGTTGTATTTTGGCTCAAGGCTGACTGGCCTACGAGTAGACTTTGCACAAACGGTCCCACCATCTAGAGCACAGAGTGCCCTGTGTCCTCACACAGGCTTGCTCAGGTAGGCACCGGTGCCGCATGTTTGCCCGGAAGGCCAGGTGCAGGGCTCGTGGCGGTGGGTGCTGCCCTGTCTCCTGGTGCTCCTTAAAGTTCTTGGAACTGGAACCCAGATCCTGGAGACTCCTGTGATCGCTTCTCCAGGTCCGTCTCATCTCTTCATCGAGAAAATAGCAAAATACCAACAGATACGTCAGCTGTTCTGTCTTGGAACTTTAAAGATTAAAGCCAAATGAAACCTAAAAGCTTCCCCTTCATCTAAACTTCCTCACCCCAGTTCTCAAATGAGGAAGCATGAACCTCAGAGGGGGTCATTCCTGAAGTTATACAGCTAGTTTTGGGCAGTACCAGACACAGAAGCCAGGAAAAGTTTGTAGGCAGAGTCAACTGTAACTGAGAGTGATTTGGAACAGGAGTCAGTACTCAGGGGCTCCAGTCACAGCTCCAGCAAATAGCTGGGAGACCCTGGGCCAGTCACTTGGCCACTTTGGGCCGGTGTCTTTGTCTGAATTGATTAGGGACTGGCTGCAGTGTGACGTAGACCCAGGTGGTGCTCAGGGGCAGAGACATTGGGATTATCTGTTCTCAGCTTTGTGTGTTTCTCTTGGCACAGCTTGGAGAAAACTGTGCAGGAGATCTGAATCTCCTGAATTAGTCAGTGGTAGGAGAGCATGTTACCCTTCTCCTCATGCTGTTTGAATCCTGTCTCCCGAGTCCCAGCTCAGATTTCCCTTCTGTGAAATTCCTGTTTGTACCGAATCTGATTTTTCCCTCCTCCCGAGTTAGCAAATACTTGCTACTTACAGGTTTCTTTGGTTCGGCTCTATCATTCTGTAAGTACTCTGTATTGTTAGTCTTCTAGGTTTGTCTTTATCTCTGTGACCAGATTCAGTTCTTCCTAAATTTTATTTTTCTATCGCCTACAGCTTTGTGTTCTTTATGCTCCTAGTACATTGTAGATGGTTAATTATGCTTTTGGGCTGTCAGACTTTTGCCTCATTTATTGAAAGGAAGGAGAGGGGAAAAACGAAGAAACGATCACTATCAAGATATTTAAACTTACGTTTTCTTTGAAACCTCACTGGGTTGCTTTGAAATAAATCACTTCAAATGTAACTGGAAAATATGAATAAAATGATCAAATGTGCCCTGCTTAGAAATGACCAGTAGATATTGACTAATTTTCAGACCTCTTACGCTTTGGTCTTTATGATACCCCCCCCCCTTTTTATTGCTTTAACAAAACAGGATGATTCTCTCCAGGCCCCCCCCCCCCTTTTTTATTGCTTTAACAAAACAGGATGATTCTCTCCAGTGGGTTTGCTTTTGCTTTCTCCTTTTCCCACATTGGATGTAAAGTACATGTGGCTCCCTGTTTATGTTGATGGGCAAAGGATGCCATTGCTGCCCAGCAGGCTCTTCAGCTAGTTATTTAGGGATTTGCTGTTTGATGGGGTCCGCTCTTCATAAGTAGGAAATGTCCTCAATGAGTTTGCTAATACTGTGGAGCTCATGTCTCAAGGTTGGTTGTCTGAATGATCAGAGTTCCTGGAAGTAAGCAGTGATAATCTAGATATGGAGTGTTGGGGGTAGATTCCTCTATTTTGTTTGTTTCTTTTTTACCATACTGGCCAGAAAAGGTCCTCAGTAAGTACTGTGGAAGGCTGAAGTAAGTGATCGCACTGTTTGTTGGGTGCCAAATTTTAAGGTTTCCTTATGAGGTAAGTTTTGTAATGTTCCAGTCATCAGTGACTTCTTTTATTTATTTAATAAACAGTAATATGGGTACGTGCTCGACACTCTTCTAGGCACTTTACAAATATGAACTCATTTAGCCCTGCAAGGTTGGCACACTTGTGATCTTATTTTACACAGAAGGAAACTGAGGCTTAGTCACTTAGCTAGTGAGTGGCAGAGCCAAGGTCCAGCCCTAGCAGTTTGGCTCCAGTCGACACTCTTGGGCTTTTTACACTGGCTGGCTGTGTAGTTTATTTCATACTCTCTCTACAGTAGCCATTTACCTGTCAATAAATACTTTCTGTATACAAGTGTGTAGAAAGAATTAAAAATTATTTAAATATGTTTTCATTGATTTTAGAGAGAGAGGGAGAGAGAAACATCGATTTGCTGTCTCCTGGGAAAATTGACCCTCCATTACGTCCAGTCCAACTCCAATGGCTTGCAAACCTCATGGCTCTCTGGTAGCTCTGGGGCTCTACCAGATCCTACTGGGGATCGAGTCCCCAACCCAGCCGCGCATGTGCCCTGACGGGAAATCAAATCAATGACCTCTCGGTGCATGGGACAACACTCAACCAACTGAACCGCACTGGCCAGAGCTGTTTTTTATTATTATTTGATTTTTAGAAAGAGAGAGGAAAGGAGGGAGGAAGGTTGGAAGGGGGAGGGGAGAGAGAGAGAGAGAGAGAGAGAGGAGGTTGGAAGGGGAGGGAGGGAGACAGAGAGAGAGAGCGAGAGAAAGAGAGAGAGACCTGTTGTTCCACTTATTTATGCATTCATTGGTTGATTCTTGCATGTGCCCTGAACGGGATTGAACCCAGAGCCTTGGCATAATGGGAGGACTCTCTAACCAACTGAGCTACCCCACCAGGGCTAGAAAGAATTTCTTTAACACTAAAATCTTTGACAAATGATTCCTTTGAAAGTTGATGTTTCATTTGCTTAGACGAGTTAGAGGGGAAAATAATCTCTTTTGGCCCTTAATGAGTGAGGGCTGCCTAAGATAGTTCCCTAGATCAATTTTATATGCAGATTTATTTTTGAAGAAAAAAAAAGGCACCATAGAGGCAAAGCTATTATGCAAATTGCCATTGCAGGAAAAGCTTCTAAAGAACTGCCTTTAGAAGGAAGTTGCAGCCACCACTCTGCTAAGTGCCCCACTTGGAGGGGTTGTGGGCTCCCTGCTGAGAAATACTCCCCACTGTCTTGTGACCCGACTGCCTGGTCCCAATTCTGGCACAGCCCAGGAGGGACCTAGTGGCAGAGCTGCCAGAGAGCAATGAGGTTTGCAGACCACTTGGGTTGGACTGAACATAATGGAGGATCACTTTTCCCAGAACTGACTATTTCTTGAAGGTGTTCTGTGCCCCTTTAAGCTATCTCTGTAGATTAATTATCATGCTTTCAACTTCATAGATTCATTTAAACATTGATAGCAGATTATATATAGTTTTAAAAAATTCTGTAGGCTAGATCAACTTTATTTTAGTGTCATTAAATATTTTTCAGTTAATTAAGAGTAAAGGATATGAATTGTTTGTATTACTGGTACATGTAGCTTTATAGGTTTATATCATCACAGAAATTGTTTTTGAGCTTTTCCCATTATGAATGCAAGACAAGGTGTGATAGTTACATATCAGAAATTACATGTTGAATGTCTACAATGTGTTAGGCTAGCTTATGTTTATTATATTTTTATTTAATTTTTATATTACCTCTATGAGTATTACTGGACCCATATTGGAAGGTAATGATACTGAGGCTCAGAGATTTGTTCCCAATCACACAGCTAGTAAGTGCAGAGCTGAGATTCAAACCCAGGCCAGTCTGACTCCCAACCCCCTTACTCTCTCTACTGCAGTACATTCCACAGCCTCCCATAGGAGAAACCAATTTTTTTTATAAATACACAATAATGTATTTGTATACACTGTTGAGTCGAGAAGACAATATTATGTTATTAATACAAAGTAGAAAAGATTTTGTAAAGA